ACTCCCTGCACTCTGTACAAAGTTTGGCTGTGAATCTTTGCATCTGCTTAGATCCCCTACTTGGTGAAGTCTTTTAGAGGACATTTGTGGTACTTCCTACTCCTCTCTTCTACTGCTTCTGGTATCTATTCTGTTTGCCCTTCTGTATGAGAATGAAGCATCTTCCCTTGTTGTTACCTTCTTTAGGTCTGTAGATTTTAGTATGTTTATTCTGTATTATATGGCTGATATTCAATTATAAGTAAGTATATACCATGCATCTCTTTTTGCTTCTTGGTTACCTTACTCAGGATGATTTGTTCTAGTCCCCACCATTTGCTAGCAAATTACATGATTTCCTTGTTTTTAATAGCTTGGTAGTATTTCATTGTATAAATGCACCACAATTTCTGTATCCATTCTTCTGTTATGGGACATCTAGGTTGTTTCCAGACTCTGTCTATTACAAATAAAGCTACTATGAATATAGTGGAGCAAATGTCTTAAAAAGAAATAGTTTCAAATATATGTATATGTACATATGTACAATATATTACATATTTTAAGTAAGCATAGAAAATAATGTCTCCCTATGGTTTTTCCAAAATCCTGTTACTTATCTTTTTTCCCTTCTGTATAACTCTACCCCCAGTTAAAGTTTTCATATTTTGCATTTCATAGCAATGGGTCCTATTATACCCATCTACAAAGCTGCCATAGTTACTTTCCACTTTTTGTCTTCTGTAGTTGCTTCAGGTTATATACTCAAATCTGAAGACTGAGATCCAGACTCTACAAATTAAAAGCAAATGTGGAGTTTCTTTTTCTAGATCTGGGCTAATTCAATCCTGTATTTTCTAGTGCCATCTATTTACCTGAAAATTTCCAGATTTCATTTTCTTTTCAGTCAGATTACATTCCATTGTGTATATTACCGTATTCTCATCTTCTTTTCATCAGTTGAAGAACCTTTAGTTTGTTTCCATTTCTGGAAATGAATATGACTGGGCAAGAAACTTTGGCATTGGATAGTAAGTCCTTTGGGTATATGCCAAAGAGTAGTATAGCTGGGCTTTAGGGTAGATCTACTTGTAGCTCTTCTGAATTCTTGACACTAATTTACAAATAGCTGCACAAGTTTACAGCCCCACCAACAGCGAATGATGAACTTTCTCTGTTCTCCCTAGGATTTGTTGACAGTTGTATTTTTTTTAATAATTTGATCACTTCCTCTTGACAGAGCTGCCTTGCGTGGTGTCAGAAGATGAAGATATGCTGAGTCCTAATGTGACTTGATGTGCTAGGGGAAGTTGATACAGGGGGAGGCTCCCCTTTTTGGGGGTGAAAGGAAGAAGGAAAGGGGGAGAGGAGGACTGGGGTGAGAGGAAGGAGGGAGAATCCTTGGGATGTAAAGTGAATAAAAAAGAAAAGAAAATAATATTTTCATTAATTCTTTGAGAATTTCATAAAATATTTTTATATTAATTTTTATTTTATATTAATTACAGTTTATTCATTTTGTACCCCAGCTAGAGCCCCCTCCCTCATTCCCTCCCAATCTCACCCTCCTTCCCTCATTTCCTCTCAGGCTCCTCTCTTAGTCCACTGATAACGGAGGTCCTCCTACCCTTCCATCTGACCCTAGCTTATCATGTCTCATCAGGACTGGCTGAATTGTCCAACTCTGTGGCCTGGCAAGCCTCCTCCCCTCCTCAGGGGAAGGTGGCCAAAGAGCAGTCATTAAGTTCATGTCACAGACAGTCCCTATTCCCCTTACTAGGATACCCACTTGGATACTGAACTGCCATGGGCTACATCTGAGCAGGAGTTCTAGGTTATACCCATGAATGGTTCTTGGTTGGAGTATCAGTCTCAGAAAAGACCCCTGGGCTCAGATTTTTTGGTTCTGTTGCTCTCCTTGTGGAACTCCTGTCCTCTCCAGGTCTTACTATCTCCCTCTTTTTTTTATGAGATTCCCTGCACTTTGCCCAAAGTTTATGAGTCTCAGCATCTGCTTTGATGCACTGCTGGGTAGAGTCTTTCAGAGACCCTCTGTGGTAGGCTCCTGTCCTGTTTCCTGTTTTCTCCTTCTTCCAATGTCCATCCCATTTGTCTTTCAGAGTGAGGGTTGATCATCTTACCCTGGGTCCTCCTTCTTGCTTAGCTTCTTTAGGTGTACAGATTTTAGTATGTTTATCCTGTATTATATGTCTAATATTCACTTATAAGTAAGTGTATACCATGTGTGTCTTTCTGCTTCTGAGTTACCTCACTCAGGATGATCTTTTCTAGATCCCATCATTTGTCTGCAAATTTCATGATTTCCTTGTTTTTAATTGCTGAGTAGCATTCCATTGTGTAAATGTACCACAATTTCTGTATCTATTCCTCCACTGAGGGACATCTGGGTTGTTTCCAGGTTCTGGCTATTACAAATAAAGCTACTATGAACATGGTTGAGCAAATGTTCTTGTTTTGTTCTTGAGCATATTTTGGATATATGCCTAGGAGTGGTATAGCTGGATCTTGAGGTAGCACTATTATTCCTAGTCATCTGAGAAAGCGCCATATTGATTTCCAAAGTGGTTGTACAAGTTTACATCCCCACAACTAGTAGAGGAGTGTTCCCCTTTCTCCACAACCTCTCCAGCATATGTTGTCACTGGAGTTTTTGATCTTAGTCATTCTGATGGGTGTAAGGTAAAATCTCAGGGTTGTTTTGATTTGCATCTCTCTGATGACTAAGGAAGTTGAACATTTCTTTGTTTCTCTGCCATTCTGCATTCCTCGAGAGTGAATTCTCTGTTTAGCTGTGTACCTCATTTTTTAATTGGATTACTAGATTTGTTGCTTTTTAACTTCTTTAGTTCTTTATTTATTCTGGATATTAGCCCTCTGTCAGATATAGGGTTGGTGAATATCCTTTCCCAGTCTGTAGGCTTTTGTTTTGTTCTGCTAACTTCTGCCCTTCATCCATATCCTGTATCTGCAAGTATGTAAAATTGAAGCCATTATCATACATATTGGAAATTATGTATCAATTTCTGTCATTTGGTTGCTTTAGCATGACTATAATTCTTTTTTGGGGGGGGGAGGTAGATCTACTTTTAGGTCTTTTGAGTTCTTCACATCAATTGCCAAGTAGCTGCTCAAGTTTACCGTCTCACCAACAGTGAATGAAGGTTTCCTCTTTCCCTGTTCTCCCCACCCTTTGTTGCCAGTTGAATTTTTTAATGATTTAATCACTTCCCCCTTTCAGAGCTGCCTTGCCTGGGGTTAGGAATCAGTTTATTTCTATATACTTTAGCAGAACAGTAGTATTTGGTTTAATCTGAATCCCTGGCCTATGTAGTCTCAAGTTCTTAGCGACCAGAAAACACTGTCAGGTACGGGTACCATCTCATGAAGTGCAATTTAACCCTAATAAGTTATTATTTAGTTAGTCCCACAGCTTTTTACCACTATCGTACTATCACATCCAACCACTGTAGATCCATGGTTTTGTAACTATAGGTTAGTGTTTGCCTTCCTCATTTTGTAGTGTGCACTATACTTTCTAGTATCTTGAACACTAGTCAGTATGGGTAAGGGCTCCAAGTAGTCACCAGCTGGACATCTCCATGTTCAGTTAATAGTGATGGTGTGGTCTTCTGATATAGAACATTGTCATCAGTTTGTAAAGAGCAACCAATAGCTTCAGAAATAGACTGGGGTTGTATGGGGCCCTCATTGAACCTCTTTATCCAATACTGCAAATAGAAGCAATCGAGTTTCTAGATCAGGAGCCTTCATATTTGGAGGGTTTTTTGTTTGTTTGTTTTTGTTTTTTTGGCTTATTATCTCATAATGCTTTATCAAGGCTTTTTTTTTCCTTTTTAAAATATTTGTTCATTTATTTAACATTTATTACAATTCTTTCACTTTGTATCTAGGATGTAGCCCCCTCCCTGTCTCTTCCCAGTCCCGCCCTCTCTCCCTTTTCTCTCTCTATGTCCCTCCCCTAGTCCTTCTCCACTTCAACTGACCCTTGCCTATCAGATCTTATCAGAACTGGCTGCATGGCCTTCTGTGGTCTGGCAAGGCTTCATCTTCCAGAGGAAGGTGATCACAGAGCTGCCTACTGAGTTCATGTCAGTGACAGCTCCTGTTCCCAGTTCATGTCAGAAACAGGCCTTTACTAGGGAAACACATATGGAGACTGAGCAGCCTATGGGCTTCTTCTGAGCAAGGAGTCTAGGTACTCTCCATGGAGTTTGTAAAGAGCAACCAGAAGCTTCAGAATTAGACGGGGATGTATGGGGCCCCCAACTGGACCACTTTAGCCAATACCTCAAATAGTAGATGCAATTGAGTTTCCAGAACAGGAGCCTTTTTTGGATTTTTTTTTTTTTTGTCTTATCTCATAATGCTTTGTCAAAGTTTTTTTTTTCCCTTTTTAAAATATTTATTTATTTAATATTAATTACAATTTATTCACTTTGTATCCCAGGTGTAGTCCTCTCCCTTGTCTCTTCTCAATCCCATAATCCCTCCCTATTCTCTCTCAGTCTATCAGTCTCTCCAGAACCCCCTGGGTCCAGGAATTTTGGTTCTGTTGGTCTCCTTGTGAAGCTCCTGTTCCCTCCAGGTCTTTATATCTCCCCCTTCTTCCATAAAATTCCCTGCACTCTGCCCAAAGTTTGGCTATGACTCTCAGCATCTGCTTTGATACTGGGCCAGGTAGTCTTTCAGAGGCCCTCTGTCAAACACTCCTGTCTTCTTCCCTGTCTTCTCCTACTTCTGATGTCTATCCTGTTTGTTTAGGGTTGATTCAATATATGGAAATACATCAATGCAATCCAGCATTTATCACACTGAAAGAAAAAAAAAAACCACAAGATCATCTCCTTAGATGTTAAAAAGCATTTGACAAAGTCCAACATCCATTCATGTTTAAAGTCTTGGAGAGATCAGGGATACAAGGCACATACTTAAACATAGTAAAGGCAATATACAGCAAGCCTATAGCCAGCATCAAACTCAATGGAGAGAAACTTAAATCAATCTCACTGAAATCAGGGACAAGGCAAGGCTGCCTACTCTCTCCATAGCTCTTCAACATTGTACTTGAAGTCTTAGCTAGAGCAATAAGACAACTAAAGGAGATCAAGGGGATATAAATCAGAAAGGAAGATGTCAAAGTTTCACTATTTACATATAGTATGATAGTATATATGAATGACACCTAAAATTCTACCAGAGATTTCTTTCAGCTGAAAAACACCTCCATCATTGTGTCTGGATACAAAATTAACTCAAAAAAAATCTGATGCCCTCCTGTATACAAAAGACAAACAGGCTGAGAAAGAAATTAGAGGAACAACATGCTTCACAGTAGCCACAAATAAAATAAATTACCTTGTTATGACTCTAACCAAGCAAGTGAAAGACCTGTATGAAAAAAAACAAAACAAAACAAAACAAAAAACAAACTTGAAGTCTCTGAAGAAAGAAATTGAAGAAGATATCAGAAAATGGAAAGATTTCACATACTCATAGATTGGTAGATTAACATAGTGAAAATGGTCGTCCTACCAAAAGCTATGTACTTACTGGGGTTCTTAACTATAATTTTTTAATTTTAATTTTATTTTTTCATAATATATTCATTACATATCCCTATTGAAGCTTACTCCTGTAACGTCTCCGAGTCCCACCCTTCCTTCCCCTCCCCCCCTACCAACTCCCCCTAGTCCACTGAGTGGGGGAGTTCTCATCCTTTGCTATCTGCCCATAGCCCCTGCTCCCTAAAAATCTGAGCACAAGGGGTACTGCAGAAATAGATGCAACAACTAAGGACCATGCATGTATAGGACGTAGATTCTCTGCTCAAAAGTAGCCATTTAGCAGCCCAGCGTCCATGTTGACCTTAATTCTTAAACTTGTTTTTTGATGGTGTTCCATGTGTCTTAATTGCTTTATATTGTCTGATTGTATTTATTATTGACTCAGTGTTATAATTTATTTATATTGGCTCAATATTATAATTTATATAGCTCCTTTTTATGCCCTGGTGTTCTGTCTTCCATTTGTTGCATTCCCTTAGTGAACATTTCCTTTCAGTTTTTTGTTTAAAGTATTGAATTTTTCTTTTGTAAAATTTTAATTTGTTTTTTTCCAGTATCTTTCTTATTGAATTGCTTCCCAACATGCTATATTGATTTATTTTCTTCATCTATTGGTAATGTATTTGAATTCATTCAGGATTTTTTTTATGTCTACTTATACTATTCTTTATTTTGAATTCTTAATTTTTCATCTAATGCACTGCCTTGCCATCTATTTGTGGAATTGATAGTTTCTGGAGGCATTATATTGTCTTGATTTTCGTTCATGTTTCTTCATTAGAATGTATACATCTGGTACCAGGTTATTGGCTGAAATATTTTGTTATAATATTTTAGTGATGCATGCTCCTTACATTGAACTTTTTAAAAATTTTATGTGGGACTAGACTGTGGTAGGGCTAAGGTAACCTTGTTTTCTACTGGAATGTGAATGTAGTTCAATATCTAAACTCTAATCCAACATGTTCTTGGCATTTTATCCATTTTCAGCACAACTCCAATAGCAGAACACTAAGTTCAAAAGCAACTGCAATTGATACGTAAGCGCTCTATGAAAACATAGTAATTTTAAACAATGGACTTTGAACTTTTGGGACTTTAAGGGAATGGAAGAACACAGATTATATCATGTTTGTTAAAATAAAAGTTAAGAGTATGAATCGAAGATAAATAGGAAACAAAGGCAGTTATTAGTATTAGAACAATGGTAAAAATAGATAAGACAAAAGTAAACAGAAGAAAGAAACAACAAATATGAAGGGAAGAGAAAAGATAGTTCCATGTGAAAGTAGAATGGTGTCTTGTCTACAGCTGAACAACCAACAGTCACTAATGGTCATTTTTCAGCATTTTGACCAGTTGTGGGTTTCTGCATTAATAACCACCCTCTGCAACCAAAGCACTTCTCTGACTAAGGCTGAGAGAAGCACTAGTCAATGGGTATAAACACAAACATTTAGAATATAGTTTATTTATGCTTTAATTTAGAGAAAAACTCAATGATTTCTGCCTAAGATCTGTGAAATCTTCAGGCATAAGCTTTTGTTTTTAATTTTATTTTTCTTATTAGTTACATTTGGTTAACTCTATATCCCAGCTGTATCCCTCTCCCTCATTCCCTCCCCAATCCCACCCTCCCTCACTCATCTCCTCCCTGCCCCTCTCCAAGTCCATTGGTAGGGGAGGAACTCCTCCCCTTTCATCTGACCCTGTTTTATCAGGTATCTTCAAGACTGGCTGCAAAGTCCTCCTCTGTGGCCTAGCAGGACTGCTCCTCCCTTGAGGGGTGGAGAGGTCAAAGAGCCTGCCATTGAGTTCCTGTTAGAAATAGTCCTTGTTCCCCTTACTATGGGAAACCAATTGGTTACTGAGCTACCACGGGCTACATCCGAGCAGAGGTTCTAGGTTAAATCCATTCATGGTCCTTGGTTGAGTGTCAGTCTCAGAAAAGACCCTGTGCTCAGATATATTTGGTCCTTGTGGAGCTCTTATCCTTTCCACCTCATACTAACTCTCCTTCTTTCATATGATTCCCTGTACTCTGCTTAAGGTTTGGTTATGAGTCTTAGTATTTGCTTTGGAACACTGCTAGGTAAAGTCTTTCAGATGCCTTCTGTGGTAGACTCTTGTCATACGATCAATGCACATCCTATTTGTCTTTCTAAGTGAGGATTGATCATCTTACCCTGGGTCCTCTTTCTTGTTTATCTTCTTTAGGTGTATAGATTTCATTATGTTTATCATATCTTATAGGTCTACATAAGCGAGTATATACCATGTTTGTCTTTCTCTTTCTGGGATACTTCGCTCAGAATGATCTTTTCTAGGTCCCACCGTTTGCCTGCAAATTTCATGATTTCCTCTTTTTTGATTGCTGAGTAGTATTCCATTGTGTAAAAATACAATTTCTGTATCCATTCTTCAGTTGAGGGACATCTGGGTTGTTTCCAGGTTCTGGGTATTACAAATAAAGCTGCTACAATCATGGTTGAGCAAATGTCCTTGTTGTGTACTTAAGCAAATTTTGGGTATATACCTAGCAGTGGTATAGCTGTGTCTTGAGGAAGCACTATTCCTAATTGTCTGAGAATGCGCCAGAGGCATCAGCTTTTGATCAAGTTTATAGTAGCTGAAATTAACTAGAGGAGTACATACTCCTCTAGTTCATTTCAGATATTATTAATTTCTAGTTAATTTACTAGTTAATTTACTAGTTAATTTACTAGTTAATTACTAGTTAATTTCCAGATATATAATTTATATCTGGAAAGCTTGTATTGATGAAAATTTCATTATGACATCTCCAGATGAAAAAAGTAGATTCCTTAATTTTCTACTACATTCTTTTTCATATTGCAAACTCTTTTGAAAGATGTAAAAATAGCCTCCAATCACATCATACTTTATTAATCTGCTCATGTAAATGAAACTCATTTGTGTGAGATAAATACTGTTTAAATATGTGAGAGGTATAAGATGAATTTTAAACATGAACATATTATATTAAACTGGATTGATAAAGTGAAATTTTAAATGTGTCACATAATAGATGATATGTTAGGAGTAATAATTGAAGGGACTTGTACCTGACTATTTGGTTTCAGAGCAGACCTTCAAATATCAATTTTATATAATTGATATTGGTCCCAGGAAAAAAACACCTCATAAACTTGTTTCTTAAAGAATAAAAGATTTCTCATTCCCCAGACATTGAAATACAAAAAGAGAAATTATTTTTAATCAGATCTTATTAGCATTTATTAAAGCATTTTTTATTTTTTTGACCTTATCTATGGTAATTAGAGTTATGTTTCCTAATATAGAGGAAATGTGGAACCATTATTTCAACTTTGTGCTTGTTTCTGATAGCTGTTTGATGAGTTTCTGAATAAAAATGTAGTGAATGACAAGTATATATATACATGTTAATGCAAATCACTCCTATGTGATGCATTTAAGTACCAAAATGCAGTAAAGAATCTTTTAGTCTTCTCCATTAATTGTCCTTGATTGGGGTATCATTCTATTCAGGGCCCCCAGAGTTCAGTTTTTATGGCTCTGTTGCTCTCCTTTTGGAGCTCCTTGTCCCCTCCAGGTTTGTTTATTTTTAAATCTCCCTCTTCTTTCATAAGATTCCCTGTACTCTGCCCAAAGTTTGGCTATGAATCTCAGCCTCTACTTCAGTACCTCAATCTGTAGAGTCTTTCAGAAGCCATCTGTGGTAGGCTTCTGTCTTCTCCTGCTTTTGATGTCTATCGTGTTTGTCCTTCTGAATGGGGATTGCACATCCTCCCTAGGGTCTTCCCTGTTGTTGTTTAGCTTTTTTAGAAGTATATTTTTTAGTATGTTTATCCTATATTATATGTGTAATATACACGTTTGGGTGAGTATATATGATTTGTGTCTTTCTGCTTCTGGGTTACCTCATTTGAGATGATCTTTTCTAGTTCCCACCATTTGCCTCAAATTTCATGATTTCCTTGTCTTTAATAGTTGAGTAGCATTCCATTGTGCAAATGTATCACAATTTCAGTATCCATTTCTTCTTTGAGGGACATCTGCATTGTTTCCAGATTTTGGCTATTGTGAATAGAGCTGTTATTATTATTATTATTATTTTTAATGCAGTACTTCATAGTCTGGCCACTGTATTGAAACCCTGAGAACATCTTGATAGTCATCTCAATTGTTCCTATTTTACTTCAGGAAAATATACTGAGTAAATTTCTTGATGAATCCATAGATTCAATACTAACATCTGAGTTGTCTGAAATTGTTGGTTGAAGTTGCTCATAGCAGAGATAGTATATGCAGTAGCAATTTATTTTTGCCTTAATACCTATGAATTTAAATTGAATTAATACACAAAGCTCCATTTCATACTTGAAATGACATTCTGAAATAATTATTGCAATTCACCGTCATAGAGTGAGCAGCCACTACTTACACTTACTAGTGTCTAGTGATTCTCATAATGGCTTAAGATATTTCTTCATTGCAAAAACTGACAGATGGATATAAGAGTTTTATCTCCCAAACTTCATTAGGTAAATATGTCTCAATCATGCAAAAATTGTAAAATATCTATGGTTTACAAATATTTAAGTTTGATCTAGGATGTAACATTTGTTTTTTTTTTAATTTTTACTGTTAGTTTATTAGTATACATGCTAACTTTATTGAAACAGTTCTCTGCTTCTTAAGGACTACACTTTTTCTGGCTTGTCACACAGTACTTAATATGGTCATTGCTAAGTCAATTTATGTAGAATGGTTTATAGACAAAGGAATATACATTTGAAGCAGTGGTAGAGAAATCCTTCTATTTTAGATACTTTCATGACTTTTAGCACTTTATTTTCGAGACAGTGTTTTATTTCATTTCCCAGATTACTCTGTAAATCACTATGAAGCACAGGCTTGTCTTGAACTCATGATCCTACTGCCTCAGATGCTGAGGTACAGTATCATGCCAGAATATCCAGTCTGTCTGAAGAATTTTGTTATGACTTAAAGTTTGAAAACAACTGCACTAAGTTGTAACTGTAAGGAGTAATAGTGAAAATAGTACCAGCAAGTTGGCTCATTGCAATACTACTAGTAGAACTATATGTATCATGTGTATGCGTGTGCGTGTGCCTGTGCATGTGTGTGTACAGGTGCATGTACTTGTGCTGGTGTATACATAGGCCTAAACAGGACATCAGGTGTCTTCTATCTGTCCACCAGACATTTGACATTTCATTTAAGATGGCTGGCCAGCCAGCTCTTGGAATCCGCCTGTTTCTACTGCACATTTGGCTTAAAGGCATAGGCACAGTAATTCCCCGAATTTATGTGGGTGCTGGAGACTTGCAACTAGAACTGTTTCTTCACAGAAACATTTGTTTCACTGAGCCATTTTCCTAGCCCACGTAGGTCTTTAACTTTTTAATATTGAAATGTACAACTTTACCATAAAGTCATTGTCTAAATTTTTATGGATCCAGTTAAAGTTTCTCAAGAGGAATGTTGTGTGTGAACATTGATATGGAATGCAATTTTTCTTGTGAGAGATTGTCACAAACAATTCAGAATTTTGAGTATACCTGATTCCTGGCTGTAAGATACCATTACTACTGCCATCACAAATTATGTGATAAGAAATTGTTACCCATAAACATTTTCATATAACACTGAGAAAAATGCCCCTCGGGAATGGATCACTGATTGAGTGACTTAGAATTAATCTACACTTAATTTCCATGTGTACAAACACTTACTGTGTTTTATATTCACCTCTAGGAGACAAGAAAATTAAAAGATAAGTTTGTGTATACCTGAAACCCTGGCTCAGATGTAGCCCATAGACCCAGTCTCCAAGTGGGTTCCCTAGTAAGGGGAGTAGGGACTGTCTCTGACATGAACACAGTGGCAGGCTCTCTGATCACCTCCCCCTGGGGGATACAGCCTTGCCAGACCACAGAGAAAGATAATGAAACCAGTCCTGATGAGACCTGATAGGCTAGGGTCAAATAGAAAGGGAGGAAGACCTCCCTTATCAATGGACTATGGCAGGGGCATAGGAAGAGAAGAGGGGGGAGGGTAGGATTGGGAGGAGACAAGGAAGGGGGCCACAGCAGGAATACAAATTGAATAACTGAATAAATTGTAATAAATGATAAAAAGACAAATAAAAAAGAAGGAAATCACGAAATTTGCAGGCAAATGGATTTAACTAGAAAAGATCATCCTGAGTGGGGTAACCCAGAAACAGAAAGACAGTCAAGGTATGCACTCACTTATAAGCCGTACAATATAGGATAGCCATCTAAAGACCTAAAGAAGGAGGGAGCAGGATACAGCTGGGACACAGAGTTAACAAAATGTAACTAAAAAGAAAAATAAAATTAAAAAAAAAAGACCTAAAGAAGTTGCACACTAAGGAAGACCCTAGAGAGGATGCTTAAATCTCATTCAGAATGGCAAACATGATAGATACCAGAAACAATGGAAGAGAGAAAACAGGATGAAAGCCTACTATACAGGGGCTTCTGAAAGTATCCACCCAACAGGTGGAGCACAGGGAGTCTTAGGGAAGAAGAGAGGGGTGGGGACTAAGGACATGGAAGGGACAGGAGCCATACAAGGAGACCAACAAAGCTAAAGGATCTGCACCCAGGGGGTCCTGCAGAGACTGATGTCCCTAAAGAGAACACTGCTCAGATGTGGCCAGGTGTCAGTTCAGTCTCCATGTGGATCTCCCATTGAGGGGATGCAGGGCTGCTTGTATCATGAACTCAGTTGACTGCTCCTTGATCACTTGCCCCTGGTGATGCAGCCTTGCCAGGCAAAGGAGGAAGAGAATCCAGGCAGTCCTGATGAGACTTAATAGTCTATGGGCAGATAGCAATGGTGGAGAACTCCCCTTTTAGGTAGACTAGGAGAAGTGGACTGGGGAAGGATGGAGGGAGTGTGGGATGGGAGGAAGTTGAGGGAGGTGAGTTCAACAGGGATACATAATGAGAAAAATTTGAAAAATAATAAAAATTAAAATTAATTTAAAAATAATCTTTTAGTCTGTGTTTGTTTAAATTATCAGTTCTCATATTTGTCTATACAAAATTACTAACGTTTAACACAAATAGAAACTAAATCCTGATTTCTGTATCTTAGATCTGTACCAGATCTTTAAAATACTACTGTATGGCCTATCCTCTCAATAGATTATGTATTATCAGAAAATGAATTAGAAATATTAAGTCAATATAAGAATTAGTAAGTATTAATTGTAGTTAAATAATTGTCACATTCTAAAATTGCATTAGGTATTCCAATGAAATTATTGCATTCACGCTTTTTTAAATGATGATTGCCATGGATATGACTATAACTAGAAAAATGTCTAAAGAATGAAAAGTGCTTGATGGTATTCCTTTTATAATTTTGCCTCCTTCATATGTTATTTTGGCTATATACTGTTGATATTGGACTTATTCCATTTTTATAATATTCTATAAAAGTACTGCTTCATTTCTTGCGCCCAAACTCCTACTTTAATTTCAGAATATCAAAAACATGTCTACCAGATTTGGAAAGGAAAGAGAACAACTTGAGATTGCTATTGATCGTGTTATTGTCACAATATCGGAAAGAAGATCGGCACGTAGTCTACATGGCACTATTGAACAGCCACTTCATAGCGTTCTTACAGCTACCCTTGATCTGGTTAATATTGTCAGCATGATATTAAACATTCTGGAAAGGTAATTCTTAATATCTGATATTTAAAGCCATGACACAATTGTATTTCCCCCTCATTTCTTCTCAGACAACTTATGTGAGGAATGGATTGTATTTCAACTTTTCTTTCAAAGATGTATATGGATGTTTTACTGATGTCTCGTTAGGATGTACAAAGTAGTGACACGGATCCCTTTAAATCAACAAGTATTTTACCATATGACTTTTACAATTCATTCAACAAAATAGTAATTTTTAAATGAGGATTCCCTTTGAGTTATCTATATAGATTAAATTACACTCACACTTTCAAAAAATAGTTTTATACAGTCTTTGTGAAGTTTTGCCAAACTTGTAAAGGATCATATCTGGCCCTTTGCAGCAAAATGTTCTTTCTTTTTCTATTAATTAAAATAGAACTTTTAACTAACATGAGTAAATTCTGTTTCTAAACCCCTGTTTTAAATAAGGCTAGTTAAGTAATACTAGTGATTTATAATTTCGTTTAGGTAGTAACTTTTAGTTAAAAATTTAGTATGTAGATTTCCATACGTTTTGTTTTGACTAACAATTGTAATCAATTATCTCTTCTAAGTACAGACAAGTCACCTTACAGATTCCTAGACTGTTTGCTTCCACTAAGTACATTTTTTCAAATAAGAGAAAAACTGGAGGGAGATGGAAAAAGGATACTGTGTTTTGATTAACAATGAGTTAAACCAGGAAGAAGTCATGCTATGTTTTTACAATTTTATATCACATGTTCTCTGATTGAGAAACAAACTTATTCAAATAAATAAGGAATGAGGACAAATTTTTCATAGTAGGAAGCACTAAATTAATAGTCAAAAAGCAAATATTTTGTGATAAGCTGCATTTAAGGAACAAATTTGAGAAAAAAAATTGTATTGACCATGAAAGTAAGGATAGCTGTAAGATGGAGTAATAGCAAAAAAAGAAAAAAAAAAAAGGCCACCCTAATGCATATAATGTGCTAAATTAAATTTGATAATTAACTGTATTGGGTTTTCCTATTTTGTCACTGTACTGTTATTACAAAGTTCATAATACAGCATCAGTATTAAGTCACTTTTCTAAGTTTTCAGCAAATTTCCCATTTTCATGGCTTATTTACTCTCATCAGTGGAAACAGGGAATATTAAAAGGGTCTTGTCTGGTTCCACCTGTATTTCACACACACAAAAAATGATCTATACAAAATGTAGGAAATCATTTTAGTATTATCTTTATTCTAAATGACCAAAATATTAAAGTTTTTATGCCATCATAGATTCTTAGATTCAGTCTTAATGACTAGTAATGACTAAATAAGAGGTGTTCATGTTGAACAGCATATTTTCCTAAGCTCAAGGCTAACTAAATATTCAAAAATATAACATCTGTATATCAAAATCTCTATGAATTAAAACCTCAAAATTACAGTGATATGTTTTAATCTGGGCATATTATAAAACATCTAAATATTTTTATGTTTCTTTGCTTTAAAATATGAAACTTTAAGCTTCCTTGGAAAGTAAATATGTTCTAGAGATTTTATCTTCATCTTTTCTGACTTACTTTTTATAGAAGATAGTAACAGTTTTAAAGACTAATTATGACTTGCCAGGCATGTTGATGCCTGCCTTTAATTCTGGTACTGGCCTGGTCTGCCAACTAGATTCTAGGCCTTCTAAGGCTACAATTGTCTTAATCAGGCAAACAAACAAAAAGGTCTTAAATCAATTGAATTTATTTGCTTTTCAAATATCTGGTCAAATTGTCAGCTAAAAGAATGTAATTGTTAAATCTTAAGGGAAGTAATTTCTGTGATTTGTCGTAAATTGCTATTCTTCTCTATGATTCTAAAACAAAACATGGAAAGTATTTTTTTATTATTTTAATATTGATATCTGCTCAAAATGTGATTCATGCTATTTTTGACCTGGCTCATGCTTTTTAAATCAGATTGGTGAATGAGAACTGACAATTTATTTAAGAAAGAATGTTTATGAAAGATTTAGACCTATTAAATCATTTTGATAGTAAGACAATAAAATATTTTTGAGAACTGAAGTAAACTCAGGAGTTTAAATCATGCAATGCTTATGACTCAAAGGATAGATTCTGGCTCTCTGACTTCTGCCCATGAATAGTTCCTATTCTTTTTTGTTTTGAGATGCTTAGCTTTTAAGAATGACTTTGTACAGTATACAAAATATTGATTTCATAAGCACTATAATCTGATAAGATAGAGCATCATTTTAATGTTACATTATTATTATATTTTAATGTTACATTATTAGTAAAAAGATATCTTTTTAAGTTTATTGTAGATGTTTTGGGATTTTAAAAGCTTTTTTTTCAGTATGATGAAAAAAAAAGGAGGCCATAGACTCTATTGTTGACACTTATGTCACTCTGTTATGTTTCTTTTTTTTGCCATTTAAAATGTGAATAGTTTTGCTAATTTGAAGTAGAAAAAAAGTAAAAATTTATTTTAGGGCAACATAGCAACTTAAGTATAACTACCTCAAATTCTACTTTTAAGTAATATAAATTGACCATGTTTGTGGTGAAAATTAAGATGTTCAGTAGAATTATGGAGTTGTTTCCATTTCTTCAAAAATGTTGGCTTAAAAATAAGTGAAATGAAAATGGCTCAATAATTTGACCATATTTATCATATTCTGGACAGAGTTACAGATAATAATCCTATGGATCTTCAAAAGTACCTTTACCATATAAGTTTTAAAGCTTAATTATATAGCTAGTTAATGCTCTTAAATAAATTTATTATAGCTTTTAAATAAAAAAGTAACTTGAGTCTTTGCCTGTGTAACAATCTTTAGAAGTAGGTCTCAAAAATAGCATTTGTTCAAACATCAATCATAGTAATCTCCTAAAAATTTATAGGGGATTATATATTCCTTTTTTCTACTGATATATAAAGATAAAATTTAAGTTTCCTAGTGGGAATATATATAAATTCATCAGTACAGTGCTTTCTAATTTGTTTTACAGAGACAGCCTAAAAAGTATTGTCCATTTTGAAAGTTATATGTTGGAAGAGTTTTGAATACAATGTTGTACATGTGCAAAGGCAACAGTCTTCAACTGAATTACTCCTCACCTTATACCTATTATTCAGATGAAGTAGAGAGTACTTTCACCATAAAACAGTATGGGTTTTTTGTTTTTTTTTTTGTCATCTCATGAAGGGCTCTCAATAACAGAAGACTAAAAGTTATGTTTGATATAAATAAGAAGTCCCAAACTTTTCATTTAGCTGTGATACATTAAATTACCTTAAATTATTATTTTTTTATTTATGTTCAACAATAAATAGCAAATGCAGTCTTTTGTTAATGTCATGGTTCATTTTTTGTGGATAATATATTTTACATATAATATAAATAAATAATAGTATATATTAATGGGTTTATTATATATTATATATAAATGATGTAAAAATGATTATTATAAACTCATTATATATTATAACATATAATATTAATGGGTTTTACATTATATAAATATATATTGTTTTATTAACTATATTATAAATATATAGTATAATAAGAACCCATTATTATTATATATTATATAGGAAATATTATATATATTATATGTAATAATGGGTTTATTCTCGATCCATTCCTCCTTTCATTTTTTATTATAATCAATCACCTGTATAGTATGTAAATTAAGAAAAAGGAAATATTAAAAGATAATCTACTCAAATTTTAACCTTTTTTCTAATAATTTGAACACAGGAATAATTATAACAAACTGTATTCTTACTATCTTCCCCATTTTGGTATCACAGAAATGTCACATTTATTAAATTTCTTCCATGCTGCATATAATATTTGATGTTCTTGAATTTAGCTGTTTATTTTATCTAAAACTCTGTAATTTTTAAAAATAATTTTCAATTTCCTAAGGATTAGAGATAATGTATTCAAAGAAACTCAGGTTGATGAAATCTTTTTATTACCCTTCCCTGGCAGGCCACCATTTGATTGCATGTCAGAATTTTCCAGTCTGAAAAATCATCTCACTAAAAATATCATATTACTGAGATATTTCTCTGAACAGGTAAGATACAGTTTGTTGTGCTGTTCTCCGTTCATATTCCTGCAGATTTACTTATCAAGCCCATTACATTTATCTTCAATGACATTCATACAAACTGTCTTTTCTTTATCATCCCTCTTGTCAACACTGAGATGCAGGCCTAGATTTTGTTATAATTAGATAAAATATTTAGTAATCAAATTGAGTTGGCACCTCAAATTCCTTTTTCATTGTATCAGAATTTACCCTAATTGCTAGATTCTTCTAAATAACTATTGGACTTACTTAAATCTGTCAAATGATCACTGTTCTTTAGTAAGGATCATAGAAACATGGTAATCTAGTAATAAGTATCATGTAATCATAAAATCTCTCTCTCTCCATAATATATATTTTATTTGGTAGTATATCTTAAATTATATTCAGTAATTTTTAATTTTCATTCAAAATCAGTATCAAATGCAATCATTTTTTTCAACATTCATCTACTTGTGGACAATATAGTTAGTTTATGTTTGACTCTTTCCTCCTTTCATTTTTATATAATTGATCATTTAGATAATAAGTTATGAAGAGAAAGAAAATTTTAAAATAACCAACTTAACCTTTAATATTTTTACAATAATTTAAATATAGTTTGCTACAAATTATTTTATTCAAATATATGTACATATATGCCACTTACATTACCATCAAAATGTTTTAATCACTTCTTAAATGTTTCATGTTTATTTCACTCAGTGTTAAACTTTTCATCATAGTATCTTCCATCTAGAATTTACTACTGTAGCTTCTCCTATTACTCAAATATAGTTGATATTTTAAGAAATAATTGATTCATTCATCCATTAATCATTCATGTATTCATTCATTTGTATAAACTTTGATTCTTTCAAGCTATTCTCTATTAATCCATGAAACAGGTCAACTTCTCTTTTTATAATTCCATTAGCTACTAAATTGAGATACAGGGTGATCAGTGTTGAATAAAAAAAGCAAAGATTAATTAATTAATTAAAGATTAATTTGTGTAAGATGGACCATGAATTGGCATACTCTGCTTTGTTGAGTTATTTTAATTTCATAGCCATTTGAAGTCTTTCTTATATATAAACATTTTAGGATTGATAAAAGAGAAGAATAAGACAGAATTATTTCCTTCAAAGTTTATTAAAATAATGAAATAATTCAGTAAAATATTACAGTTTTAAAGTTTGTATGAGGTATTAACTGGGTTTTAAACATCCCAAGACCAAGTTTTATGCTATACCATTTTATATTAAGATTGTTATCATAATGTTCATACATAATCATTTTCCAAATAAAAGTTTGGTGGCTATCGATTCTTGTGGATCCAGCTATTTGGTAGGCTGAGCCAAGAGGAATACTTGATCCTAGGAATTCATAGCCAACTTGGATAGCATGGTGACATCCTGTTTGGTGGGTGGGGACTGGGAATGATGATTGAACATGCCAGAAAGCCTTATCATCACTTTTAATTTTTCCATATTTATTGTATTTGTTTCTATAGAAGATTGAAGATTGGTTACACATGAAAATTTTCAGTAGTTATGGTTCATATTTACATAATAATCAGTGTCTGGTAAATATTGTTCTATGGTATGAATATAATAATTCACAATCTCTTTATCCTTCTTAGAAACTTTTGCCAACATGAAGTTTCTTCTTTCAGAGGAGAGTATAAAATACAAAAAGATCATTAAGTATAGAGCTAACTAAGGACCAACTAATTTCTCTATTTTATAAATATTTACTTTTTACTATGTACACATTTGTGTTTGTATATGTAAACACCAGTACTCATGGAGGCCAGAATTATCAGATTCCATTGTAGCTAGGGTTATAGGTAGTTGTGTGCTATATGATGCAGGTGCTAGAAATTGAACTCAGGTCTTCTGCAAGAGCACTCTGCACTCTCAACAACGGAGCATTTTCTCCAATTCCTATTTTCTCTATTCATATCAGAGTCATGTTTCTAAAGATCCTGTTCTTAACATGATCCATACCATATTAGAGAAAATTTTATATATCATGAAAATTCTCAAAATTATGGTGCAACGTCATAGAAAATCACACCAACATGGTTATTAGGCAGAGTGTCTGACAAGAAAACCTAGAACTTCTAGAGGAAAATATAAATAAAACCCTTGGGTATTGACATTAGAACAGTTAAAGTAGAGTAGAATTTAAAGTCTGAAATCTCATAGATAAGGAAAATAAGGGAAAGTAGGAGTGAGAGAACCCACATTTGGTGTGCCTTTTATCTTATGAGATATTTGTCTACAAGGAACTCCTTTTTAATTATTTTTTTTACATATCCCAGTTGTAGTCCCTCCCTCATTCCCTCCTAATCCTACCCTCCCTCCCTCATCTCCTCCAGTGTCCCTCTCTAAGTCCACTGATGGGAGAGGTCTTCTTCCCCTTCCATCTTACCCTAGCTTATCAGGTCTCATCAGGACTGGCTGCAATGTCCTCCTCTGTGACCTAGTAAGGCTGCCCCGCCTCAGAGGGAGGTGATCAAAGAACCAGCCACTGAGTTCATGTCAGAGACAGTTCCTGTTCCCCTTGAACTCTTTATCCATAGGGGAACTTTTAGTTAGAAGGTCCACCATCTGAAATTTTACATTTTGGAATTTTTCAATAATATCTTAAAAGGATGCAGTTACACTTAATTTCATTCCCCACAGAACTTTAAATTAGTGACAAGTTCTGATGACAGTGTCCTTTGTTTTACAGAAACTTTTCACTTTCATGAGGTCCCATTTATTGATGGTTGATCTTAGGACCTACACTGTTGGTGTTCTATTCAAGAAGTTGTCTCCTCTGCCAATGAGTTCAAGGCTCTTCTCCATTTTTATTTCCTCTAACAGATTTAGTGTGTTTGGTTTTATGTTGAGGTCTTTGATCCACTTGGACTTTTATTTGCAATTTCTACATGTAGACATCCAATTAAACTAGCGCCATTTGTTGAAGACGCTCTCTTTTTTCCATTGTATGGTTTTGGCCTCTTTGTCAAAAATCAAGTATCCTTAGGTGTGTGGGTTTATTTCTGGGTCTTCTATTCAATTCCATTAAGCCACCATTCTGTTTCTATGCCAGGACCATGCAGTTTTTATTACTAATTCTCTATAGTACAGCTTGAGATCAGGTATGGAGATATCTCCAGAAGATCTGTTGTTGTACAGGATTGTTTTTGCAATTCTTTTTTTTTTTTCATTGAAAGCAATTTAGTCTTTTTTTCACTTTTTTACAATTTATTTATATTTTTATAAATTACAGTTTATTCACTTTGTATCCCCACTCTAGCCCCCTCTCTCCTCCCCTCCCAACTCCACTCTCCCTCCCTCATCTCTTCTGTGTTCCTACACAAAACCACTGATACGGGAGGTCCTTCTCCCTTTCTATCTGACCTTAGCCTATCAGACCTCCAGGGCCAGAATTTTTTGATCTGTTGCTTTCCTTGTGGAGCTCTTGTCCCCTTCAGGCCTTCCTAGCTCCCTGTTCTTTATAAGATTCCTTGCACTCTGCCCAAAGTTTGGCTTTGAGTCTCAGCATCAACTTTGATACTTTGCTGAGTAAAGTCTTTCAATGGACCTCTGTGACAGGCTCCCATCCTGTTCCCTGTTTTCTCTCTCTTCAGATGCACATCCCCTTTGCCTTTCTGCATGAGAATTGATCATCTTACCCAGGGTCCTCCACCTTGCTTAGCTTTTTTAGTTGTACAGATTTTAGTATGTTTATCTATATTATATGGCTAATATCTACTTGTAAGTGAGTATATACCATGTGTGTCTTTCTGCTTCTGGGATAACTCACTCAGTATGATCTTTTCTAGTAAATTGAGAATTTTTCTTTCAAGATCTGTAAAGAATTGTGTTATTCTGATGGGAATTGAATTGAATCTGTAGATTGCTTTTGGCAGGATGTCTATTTTCACTATGTTAATCCTATTAATCCATGAGCATGGGAGAACTTTCCATCTTCTGATATCTTCTTCAATTTCTTTCTTCAGAGACTTGAAGTTTATTCACAGTTGTTTTTCACTTGCTTGGTTAAAGTCACACCAAGGCACTTTATATTATTAGTGGCTATTGTGAAGGGCGTAGTTTCCCTAATTTCTTTCTCAGCCCTTTGATCTTTTGGATACAGGGCTACTGAATATACAACAAGGACATTTTCTCAACCATGTTTGTAGCAGCTTTATTCTTAATAGCCAGAACCTGGAAACAAACCAGATGTTCCTCAACTGAAGAATAGGTACAGAAATTGTGGTACATTTACACGATGAAATATTACTCAGCAATTAAAAACAAGGAAATCATGAATTTTGCAGACAAATGGTGGGAACTAAAAAATATTATCCTGAGTGAGGTATCTCAGAAGTAGAAAAACACACCTGGCATATACTCATTTATAAGTGGATATTAGCCATATAATATAGGATAAACATACTAAAATCTGTACACCTAAAGAAGCTAAGCAAGAAGGACGACCTACGCTAAGATGATCAATCCTCACTCAGAAAGACAAATGAGAGGGACAAAGAAGAGGGAGAAAACAGAGAACAGGATAGGAGCCTACCACAGAGGGCCTCTGAAAGACTCTACCGAGCAGGGTATCAAAGCAGATGCTGAGACTCATAGCAAAACTTTGGAAGAGTGCAGGGAATCTTATGAAAGAAGGGGAGATAGAAAGAGCTGGATGGGACAGGAGCTCCACAAGGAAAGCAACAGACCAAAAAATCTGGGCAAAGGGGTCTGAGATTGATACTCCAACCAAGAACCATACATGGAGATTAACTAGAACCCCTGCACAGATGTAGCTTATGGCAGGCAGCTCAGTATCCAAGTGAGTTTCCTAGTAATGGGAATAGGGACTGTCTCTGACATGAACTCAGTGTCTGGCTCTTTGATTACATCCCCCTGAGGGGAAAACAGCCTTACTAGGCCACAGAGGAAGACAATGCAGCCAGTCCTTATGAGACCTGATAGGTTAGGGTC